TGGGGGAGGGGTATTTGAGCCCCATTCCATATAATGATTCTGGTCCATTGTAGCCACTATAGCCAAAGAAATGAACAAGCAGCTTTTTTTTTTTTTTTTTTTCTTCAAAGAATCTAGAGAACAGGTCAGGTTCGGTGACTCACACCTGTAATCCCAGCACTTTGGGAGGCCAAGGTGGGAAGATTGCTTGAGCCCAGGAGTTCAAGACAACCCTGGGCAACATAACGAAGCCCCGTCTCTATAAAAAATACAAAAATTATCCAGGCGTGGTGGCACATGCATTTAGTCCCAGCTACTTAGGAGGCCGAGGTAAGAGGACTGCTTAAGCCCAAGAGGTTGAGGCTGCAGTGAGCCATGACTGTGCCACTACACTCAAACGTAGGAGACGGAGTGAGGCCCTGTCTCAAAAAAAAAAAAACAAAAGATTTAAAACGGTACACCTGTCTAGGGTACTTTACCATGAATCAAGCTTGTAGGACTGGAAGTTGCTCTAGATGAGTCTGAGTGAGAGGTGAGTGAATGTGAAGGCCTAGGACATTACTGTATACTACTGTAGACTTTATCAACACTGTACATTTAGGCTACCCTAAGTTTATTTTTAAATATATTTTTCTTTTTTCAATAATAAATTAACAGCTTACTGTAACTTTGTTATTTTATAAACTTTTAAATTTTTTTGACTTTTGTAATAACACAGTTTAAATGCAAATGCATTCTACAGCTATATAGAAATATTTTATTTCTTTATATCCTTATTCTGGAACCTTTTTCTATTAAAATATATTTATATTTTTTTTAACTTTTCAAACTTTTTTTTTTTTTCTTCCAAGACAGAGTCTCACTGTTTTGCCCAGCCTGGAGTATAGTGGCTCGATCTTGGCTCACTGCAACCTCCACCTATCGGGTTCAAGCAATTCTCCTACCTCAGCCTCCCACGTAGCTGGGATCACAGGTGCGCACCACCACACCCAGCTAAGTTTTGTGCTTTTAGTAGAGGTGAGGTTTCACCATGTTGGCCAGGCTGGTCTTGAACTCCTGACCTCAAGTGATCCTCCAGCCTCGAATTCCCAGGGTGCTGGGATTACAGGTATGAGCCACCATGCCTGGCCAGAGCTGTCATCTCTTATGATAACAATGCCTTCTTCAGGAATACCTCCTGAAGGACCTGTCTGAGCTGATTTTACTGTTAACTTTTTATTTTATAAGCAGAAGGAGTATGCTCTAAAATAATGATTTAAAGTATAGTGTAGTAAATACATAAACCAGTAGCACAGTCATTTATTATCTTGTCAAGCATTATGCACTGTACGTAATTGCATGTGTTATACCTTTATGTGACCGGCAGCACAGTAGGTTTGTTTAACCAGCATCACTACAAACATGTGAGCAATGTGTTGCATATGACATTATGACAGCTATGACATCACCAGGTGATAGGAATTTTTCAGCTCCATTATAATCTCATGGGACCACTATTGTATATGTGGTCCATCATTGACCAAAACATCATTATAAGGCACATGACTATACATATATGTGTGTTATAATATGTATATTCTATGTGTGTACACATTTTAGAGTAAATTGTAGGTATCATACCCAGTTACTTCTAAATATTCTTGTGCTAGTTTTGTAAGAAAAAGGACATTCTCTTACATAATGACAGTACAGTTCTCAAAGTCAAGAAATTTAACATTGATATACTATTATCTAATCTATAGTCCATATTTAAATTTAATCAATTATCCCAGTAATGTATTTATAGCTAGTTTTTTCCAGTCAGGGATGAAATCCAGGATTCTGTCTCTTTAATCCCCTTTAATTTAGAACAGTTCCTAATACTTCCTTTGTGTTTTATCACCTTGACATTTTCAAAGAGTACTAGCCAGTTATTTTGTAGAACAGTTCTTACTGTGAGTTTGTCTGGTGTTTCCTCATGATGTATTTTTGACAAAAACAACATGAAATTGATGTGGACTCCTTCCCAGTGTATACGATTAGGAAGTGTATGATGTTGGTTTGTCCTGATATTGGTGTTATTTCTATCTGATGACTTGCTTAAGGTGGTATCTGTTGGATTTACCAGTAAAGCTACCAATTTTTCCTTTGTATAAGTAATAATGTGAAATTTTACTTTGAGACCATGTAAATATCCTGGTCCTTATCAAACTTTTACTGAGTGGCTTTAACATCTATTGATTATTTCCTAACTGCATCATTCCTATTATATTTAATAGATGGCATCCTACTGTAAGGAAGTGCTTTTCTTTCACCCTTGCTTGTTGGTTGGTTGTTTATATTAATACGAATTTATGGATATTTATTGTTTTCAGTGGTTTCCAATTCATTACTAGTCATCATTTATTTTAATCCCAAATTGTCCTAGATTTGGCCATCAAGTTCTTTAAGTTGACTCCTGTATGCTTTTGACATGGCTCCATAATTCTTAGAGCATGTCCTTATTTCCTGGTGCCACAATGTGTTTCAGTACTTTTGTTTCACCAGTTTTTAGATGACTGTTAATGTCTCTTTGTGTGTTGTATAAGAAAAAAAAAATGTACATATGACCCAACTACTTTGGACAGAAATCCATTTTTAAATAGACTGGGCATATCTTGTACTTTAGTTGAAACCATTATAGTGGTGACAAAAATAATAATCTTAAAGGTTCTTTTTTGTGTGTTCAAAAGAAAGAATTATTTCTTTCAGGATGGTGGTCAGTTGAAACAACAACAACAAAAGAGAACTTAAGATTGGGAAACCTGGGTTTGAGTCCCCAGTCCAATTGAATAGCTATTTTAGAGAAATCTACACAAAGTTTTCTCATTGACAAAATGGAGCTGTGAAGGTTCTGTCTGGCAACATATGATAAAGCATTATCAAATAGATAGTATTTCCTCTGCCCAGCATGCCATAACAGGTTTCAGGCTAGGTATAGTGTTTTTGATTATGTGGATAACTATCTTAAAATCCTTCTGAATGTAGTCGAGGATGGTCATAAAGGTATCTGAAATAAAAGTTAGGAGCCATGCAAAAAAACCAGGTCAGTTATCTCCCATATTAGAAATTTGTGCTTGAATTTGTGCTTGTTCAACTGCTTTCCAAAATAAAACATTTTTTTGATAGTTTGAAATTGGGTATATAAAGAATATGCAATTGAAATAACTCAAATTTTGGGTGTTTTTGTTTTTGTTTGTGAGATGGAATCCCTGTCACCCAGGCTGGAGTGCAGTGGTGCAATCTCGGCTCTCCCTGCAGTCTCCGCCTCCCAGGTTCAAGCGATTCTCCCGCCTCAGGCTCCCAAGCAGCTGGGACTACAGGTGCACACCATGACGCCCAGCTAATTTTTGCATTTTTATTAGAGACAGGGTTTCACCATGTTGATCAGGCTGGTCTCGAACTCCTGGCCTCAAGTAGTCTGCCCACCTCAGCTTCCCAAAGTGCTGAGATTATAGGCATGAGCCACCACACCCAGCCAAAATATGAATTTTTTGGATAGTCTTGAAATTTGTATCTTATTTATCTAGTCAGTTTTAAACAGATTAACTTGTTTGTTAAATTTCCATTTTATTTTGCATTGGATTAAAAACAAGATTATTATAAATATTTTTGTGATGCTTTACAATTTTCAAAGCACTTTCACATGCATTCTCTTATTTAATATTCACAGCAATCCTGTGAGTTACATAGAGCAAAATTAGTATCCTCATTTTATAGAGGAGGAAACTGAACCTCAGAAGTGTAAGGTCACATTCTGTGTAACGGATGACGCAGGAACTGTGAGTTGGTGGCTATTGTCTCCAGCACTGGAGACAAACCTAGCACATCATAACACCCAGTAAATATGTGTTGGATGGATAGATGGAACTCAAAAGCAGGTCTTCTGATTCCAGAATTTCAGGTCATAGGACATAAAATAAAATTCGAATCAACTCATAATGTTGAGTGATGCTGGTAAACAAGCCTTACCTGGCAGCCAGGAATAATCTGCAAAAGTAAGAAGTCGAAAGATGCTCAGCATTGCTCATGTTTAAATACAGACCAATCAAAACAAGGACATGCCATTTTTACCTATCAGATTTAGCAAAGATAACAAAATGGGCTATTCTGGGAACTAGGGAAGATGTGGGAAACAGACACACACTGGTGTGCCGCATGCAAACTCTTGCCACCCATTTGGAGTATGTGTTGCTGTCTTTCGATCTTTCAGATGCATGTAACCCTTTCCCTAACAAGTTCACCTTTAAAAACTGGTGCTACCGACTCCCATATGTACTCAAAGATAGAAAATTTCATAAGAATTTTCACATGCACGTTATTTGCAGTAATAAACAACCAAAAACCATTTAAATGTTAACGAACAGACTGTTTAACGATAGTGTAGAATATTGACAGGATGGAAAACTATGCAGCCATTAAAAGGAACAAGGCAAGTCGGTGTGTGCTGATATGGAAAATCTCCAAGATGTATTGATAACCGTAAAAAGCAAGATATCAAAAAGCCAAAGAAAAACCTATACTGACCTGTGTTTGCCTACGCATAGACCGTCTCTGGTTAGATTCAGAACACACTGTTAACAATTGTCGGCTGGCCAAGGGGATTGGGGCAGGGAGAGACTTTACGCGGGGAACCTTTGGATACTGTTTCACTTTAGAATTAATAGATAATTCGAGAAGATATATCAAGGCCCATTTCTTGAAGGCCGGAGCGCTTCTAACCTCAGAGCCTGCCTCAGCCTCTGGCTCCCACCCCCGCAGCCGCCCCTTCGCGTCTGAGCAGGCCGGGGCCCCACTCACCCTTCCCCGCCGCAGACAGAGTGCGGGCGCCCGGGAGAGCCCCGCCGCGGGCAGCTCCGCAGCAGGAGGCCCCGCAGCCGCTGCGCGCCGGGACGGAGCATGACTAGGCAGAGGCCGAGGCCGAAGGCGCGGGCGCCTGCTCCAAGGCCAGCGAGCAGCCTGAGGCCGCCGGGCTGGCGGGGCGGCGGTCGGACCCTCCCCCGGGCGGGGGGCGGACTCCTGGACGGCCGCGCGCCCGGGAACCCGGCGCCCACAGAGCGGCGGCACCATGGCACCTGCCGGACGCCCGGGGGCCAAGAAGGTGAGTTTCCTCCCCTTGATCCTCGCGGAGCCCCTGGCCGCTGTGAGCGACTCCGTTCACATTCCGCGTGGATCCCTAGCCAAGCCCTGGGGCCTCGGCAAAACACTTGGACGGGACGGCCCTGAGCCTCGATTTTCCCCAGTCACAGGTTGATTAGCGTTTAGGGAGGCCTTACTCGGTGCCCGGCGCTGCACAGAGTGCTGTGCTCAAGTTATCTCCTCATCTTGACAATTATCCCCATTTCACAGGTGAGGAAACTGAGGTTCAGCGAGTCAGGCGACTAGCTCAGGGTCACGAGTCCAGCCCCGCGGGGAGCGAGGATCGGAAGTCTAGCTTTCGGACTCAGGTCGCGAGCACGTTTTCTTCCCTCAGCCGACCCGCACCCGCAGCTCTTTGGGCTAATCCACCCCAGAACCCTTCGGACTGTCCCTCGCGTTTTGGAAAAGTCAGCAGCCTGGCCTTGCGAGTCGCCAGCTGGCCTGAAACCAGTCCTGGATAAGAACGTCCCCAGAGCTGCGGCGCAGGATGGAGGGTGGGTGGGATTCGCTAGGACCCTTCCACCTCCTCCCACCCGGTGGTCCCCAGCTCCTGGCCCCTTTCCCGGTCTGGTCACCAGATGTTGGTTTTATGCCCAGCCATTTCTTTGTCGGGTATGTGTGGGGGTGGGAGGAAGGGGTGACTAAGCAAAATTAGGAAGGGCATGAGCTTGGACGAAAAACATCCCCAGGACCATTCAAAGAGACCCCCACCCGCGCCAGCCCTGTCATTCAGAGTGGGAAGAGGGGAGGAGGAGCAGTATATGCATGGAAATGTGTATCACCGAGCTATTTATACTAAAAAGTTAGGAACGACCAAGATACTCCGCAATAGGGGATTCTAAATAAATTAAGGGTCATCTACTTAAGGTATTAGGCAATTAAATAACTTAGTATGAGAACCAGCAAAGTGCTTTGGCAATGTTAAGTTGCAAAAGGAAATATATCACAAACTGATCCCAACCATATACAAATATTTATATACACACTGTAAGGAAGGACACATTAATGGTAATAGTTACACAAGACGTGGAATATTGGTTTAAAAAGCATGTTTTAGGATATTTTTTCAGATTATAAAAGTAAAATGTGAGCATTGAAAGAAATAGTTAATAAAAAATAATCAAAGAACATTGCGCTTTTTTCTCTCAACTTTAATGCTATGTTCATCTTTACAGTTCATTTTTTTTTAACGTTTTTAAAATGCCCTATTTTTGTTCAATTTCTTTGGGGCCTCTGCTGTTACAGCACCAAGATTATCACACACTAATCCATGTGAATGTGTACCTGGGAGTTAAGGGGTTAATGGGAAGGAACTAATCTCACCTCTCTCCTCAGCTAGCGGGTACATTTTAAGAATTCATTTAATTGCTACAGACAAGACCTCCAATTAGGTCTTTAATCCAAAAGAGCAGCTCCGCTGGCAATTCTAGGAAGAGGGGGAGATATTTTAGATACATTGGGTTTTTCTGGTCACCTCCTACTACACAGTGAAGTTGATCCCCACTGAGTATGAATAGAGATGTCTTGAAGCCAGATCTTAAACCCAGAGGTCTTAGGTAGTGATATCTGCAAAAAGGGGGCATAAATGCACCCTAGAACTCGCTGTCAGATGCAAGGCAGGTTCACTGCCAAACTGATGGGGAGGATGGGATGAAAATATAAATGTACTGCAAAATTAATTTACAGTATTCCTTATTTTACATATTCCTGTCTTTATAATTATAGAGCTGACTTTAGATAATGCTAGTATAATGGTGAGGAACAACACACACTGGGGCCTATTGAAGGGTGGAGGGTGGCAGGAGGGAGAGGATCAGGAAAAATAACTAATGGATACTAGGCTTAATACCTGGGTGAGGAAATAACCCATATAGCAAACCTCCAATGACGCATGTTTACCTATGTCACAAACCTGCACATCCTGCACATGTACCCCTGAACTTAAAAGTTAAAAAAAAAATCTAAAGAAGGGATCATACTGGTACAGTAATTAATTGAGGTAGTTAGAATAGCAGTGAAGGAAGGGCTAAAAGATGCTCTGAATTCAAATCTTGATAACTTAGTTATTTTGCTAATGGATATGTAGAAAAATGGCCAATTGACCAGGCACAGTGGCTCACACCTGTAATCCCAGCACTTTGGGAGGCTGAGGCAGGTGGATCATCTAAGGTCAGGAGTTCGAGACCAGCCTGGACAACATGGTGAAACCTCGTCTCTACTAAAAAATACAAAATTAGCTGGGCATGGTGGCAGGTGCCTATAATCCCAGCTACTTGCAAGGCTGAGGCAGGAGAATTGCTTGAACCCTGGAGGTGGAAGTTGCAGTGAGCTGAGATCGTGCCACGGCACTCCAGCCTGGGCAACAAGAGTGAAACTCTGTCAAAAAAAAAAAAGAAAGAAAGAGAGAGAGAGAGACGAAAGAAAGAAAGAAAGAAAGAAAGAAAGAAAGAAAGAAAGAAAGAAAGAAAGAAAGAAAGAAAGAAAGAAAGGAAGGAAGGAAGGAAGGAAGGAAGGAAGGAAGGAAGGAAGGAAGGAAGGAAGGAAGGAAGGAAGGAAGGAAGGAAGGAAGGAAGGAAGGAAGAAAGAAAGAAAGAAAGAAAGAAAGAAAGAAAAAGAAAGAAAAAAAAAAAGAAAAGAGAAGAAAAATGGCAAATTTAAAATGGTGGACAAATATCCAGATAACAAATGAAAACGTATTCCTCCCTTTACTTGGTAAAGTCAAAAGATACAAGATACAGTCAAAATATATACTACAATTTTCTTGAAACCTACCAGATTTTCTGCTAAAGAGTAACATTTTTTCTTCTTGAGGACAAAAATTCTAGCATATGCAACACATCTGACATTTTCAAAACAGTCCTATTTGTTTGCTAATTCTTGGCATAGTTTCTTAATTGTCTACTCATTTTAGTTGTTATATGAGGTGGTAGGGATATAGACCATTAAGATATGTCACCTGCCTCCAAGCCTCTTACAGTCAAACTGAGGTGACAGGTAAGTAACCAGATACTGCTGTACAGGGGGATGCATGAACGAAGTGAAGCAAGACACAAAAGGGGTGTAATCACAGGTGAGACTGGGTCCGTGAGCCTGTACTCTGGTAGCAATGGAAGACCGTTCAGAGTAGGGCTGGAGAGTTCTCTACTCTGGAGACCATTTCAATAATCAAATGCAGTGAGGATGCTGGGGCATTTGAGAAATGTGTAATACACTTGGCATAACCCTGTGATAGGTTAGATGTGGGAGGTGAGAAGCTAACCTACAACATCTGAATTCTGTGCCAGTGTTTTCCCTCGACAATTGTTTGATTAAATTTGATTCTTTTTTTTGTTTGTTTTTTGAGACAGAATCTCACTCTGTTGCCCAGGCTGGAGTGTAGTTGTGCAATCTCAACTCACTGCAACCTCCGCCTCCCAGGTTCAAGCGATTCTCCTGCCTCAGCCTCCCAAGTAGCTGGGACTACAGGCGCCACCACCATGCCCAGTTAATTTTTGTATTTTTAGTAGAGACAGGGTTTCACCATGTTGGCCAGGCTGGTCTCAAACACCTGACCTCAAGTGATCCATCTGCCTCGGCCTCCCAAAGTGCTGGGATTACAGGCATGAGCCACCGTGCCTGGCCTAAATATGATTCTTAACATGGTGAACCTAATGAAGTGTATGAGATTTTCAGGAAAAGAGTTTGTACACAATAACTGTACCTCTGACTTTCTCTTCTGTATTCCCGTGTAGCATTTATTTGTCACATTCTGCTGTGATTATTTTTTGATCTATTGGTTTTCTCCAAAGTAGCCAGACTTTGAGCTTGTGGAGGGCAGAGACCTTGTCTTATTCTGATGTTTATCCCACTTGCCCACAACTATACCTGACATGTGGAAGGTCTCCATAAACATCCAAAATTTAAGGCCTTTTTTATATTTCAAAAGTACAAATTGAAAAGAGTGAATTGCATTTTATGCAGGGAGGAGAAAGAAAGAGATGAGAATCACAGTAAATATTAACATTTCTTCTGCATTCAGCTAAAATTCAGCTTTAGATATAAAATATGGAAAAATAACCAGAGTTGAGAGCTCTCTCTGCCAAAACAGTGTTTATGTTCAACATAGTTCACACAGCTGGGCTCCATTTACCTGCCCTCCAAGTGCACAGTAAAAAGAAGATGCTGTAGGTATGGTGACCTATCATTAACTAGAGTTACTTACCTCTAGTTAAACCCCTTCTGATGGACCTTCTTGCACCGCAGAGGAAAGAAAACTAACCACATTGCCAGACTCCTTTGCAGCTAGGATCTGGATAAGAACTAGGATACCCAATCAGATGCACCAGCATGAGTCCGGGAAGGTGGAAGCATAGCAAGCATGGCCATAGTGCAGCATTCCAGTGTCATGTGAGGGGCAGCTGAGGTCACTGGAGCAGCCTCCTTCTCCCTATATGACAGCTGTGTCCTGAAGCCAGCAGTTTACTAGTGGCTTCTCTTAGTTGTGACAGAGGGTGCAGCCCCAGGCAGCCAATTCAGTCATGTTTTTCTAGGGTCATTCCTGGAAGCCCAGTGTAAATTTTTTATGTACCCATTTCTCAATATTAAACTCCTTTCTGCTTAGCCGGAGTGGTTTGTACCTCTGCAGCTAAACTGGACATGGGGATAAAGCCAGAATAAGCCCCCTCCCTAGTCATGCCATTCAATGGCGATTGAGAAATCATTCAAGCCATATTTGACCTCCCATGTTTGGTTCCATACTGTTAACAGGACTGTCCTGGGAGGCTCTGTGGGAGGATCCTCACATGTCTGCTTTAATTTCTGGTTGCTTTTATTAGATCCAGGATTGACCTAGGTAAGAACAAAGACTCCTGTAACCAAGATCAAATTAGCTTCCCTCTTATTCTTTATTGCCTTTATAGCCTTCCAACCTCCTGGAAAAAGATTGAAGACAATAATATATCAAGTAATACGGCCAAAATGTGTTTGAGATCTCTTTGTTCCTTGGTATCCAAGGAAACTTGCTCCTGATACCTTGGGTGGGTCACTTTGTGTGGGGAGTAAGCAAAGGAGAAATAGCAGATGCCAGACACTAGAACAGAAGCAGTTTCTCTCCAAAATCTGTTCCTCCTCCTTCCGTAGGATTAGCGTTGGAGCTGGACACATGGGCATTCACTGATGATACTTCCTGGCTTCCCTTGCAGCAAGGTAGAGCCATGTGACTAAACTGTCATGCAGGAAATGTAAATGTCAATGAGATGAGTCACTTCTAGGTCTGAGCTAAAAACTTTAGGATGAGCCTTGCCACACTTTGTTTCCTCATCATTTGAGACAGAGTATGAACGTGACTCTGATCAAGTTTCCCCCATGCTGAGGAGGACAGTACCCTAGGGCTGGGTTGGCAAACGCTTTCTGTAAAGGGTTAGATAGTAATTATTTTTAGCCTTGGGGGCCATAAAGTCTTGGTGGTAACTACTCGACTCTGCTACTGTAGTGGAAAAGTGGCTGTTAGAGAGTATGTAAATAATTGGGCAGGGTTTTACCTAAGACCATTTTTACAAACACAGATGATGTGCCAGATTTGGTCTGTGGGCTGTCATGTGCTGACTCCTGCCACAGGGAATGGCAAAGCAATAAGATGAAAGGACTGTGCACTTTGGTGCACACTCCGTAAAAAAGAAGCCCCCCACAAACAGTGGCTTTAAATAAAAGTAGTTTCTTTTTCCTCTGTAAGAGGAAAGCCACTGTTTGTGGGGCCTCTTTTTCACAAGGCTTAGTTTCACCCTACACCGAACATGTAGCCCAGTAAGCTGTCTCTGTACCCTGCTTGATGTCTCCCTTGGATTCAGGAACTGAGGGAGTTTATATTGATTTCACAGAACAGATAAGACTAGTTAGAAGAGGCATCTGAGGCTTTTCTCCCTGATCCAGCCATTGCTTTGTGTCTGGCTATGGGCAGGCCTGAAATGAACTGGCCTATTATCAATAAAAGGTTGCATCTTTCACTAATGCAGCCTAGAAAAGAGGGATCAGGATTGCTGTGGGGGTTGGGGGGGGGTGGTTTGCAGTGGTCAGGGAAGGCATCTCTGAAAAGGTGACACTTGACCAAAGACCTGAAGGCAGTGAGGGGATGACCCTGCAGGCACCTGGGGAGATGTGGTTTAGACCAAGCAAAATGGGAAAAGTTCTCTTATGCCCTTCGCAGGGTGTGTGATGGGGGTGTGGCTCACTTCTTCAGCTCCCCGCAGCTTAAACCCCTGGGGTAGCATGCAGGTACCCCATGGCAGCGTCCAGGGGTGAATGTTTACAGCTCCTGAAGCCCCAGTGGGCGTGTGTTACAGTGTGCTCTTTCAGCTTCGCTGTCCACTGGCAGCTTGTGTTAATCAGTTCAATTAGACCCTCTGCCTTATTGAAAGGACAGAGGGCTTTCTGTATCCCAGGGTTCTTGCCAATGTACTGGAAAAACTGGATCCCACGTGGGCTTGGAGAATGAGTGCAAGGTTTTATTGTGTGGTGGAAGAAGCTCTCAGCAGATGGATGGGGAGCCAGAAGGGGGATGGAGTGGGAAGGTGGTCTTCCCCTGGAGTCAGGCCGCTCAGCAGCTGGGCTCTCCTCTAACCACCCCGGCCAAATTCTGCGTCGTCTGTGTCATTCTGCCGCTGTTGGCCTGCCAAAGTCTGTGTGTTCTTCTGCCAGTGTGTTTCTTTCCATGTCCAGCTGCTTGTGTTTGTGTTTGCTAGGGTCTTGAGGTTTTTATAGGCACAGGATGGAGGTGTGGTGGGCCAGGGTGGTCATGGAAAATGCAACATTTGGGCGCAAAAACAGGAGTGCCTATCCTCACCAGGGTCTGTGGGCACAGGCCTGAGGCCTTCCTTTATCAAAAGGAAACTGCATCCCATGGCTAACTGCTCTGAATGGAACCTTTTAAATAAGTTATGAGTGGGCTAAATAGAAAGGTGGTAAAATAGAAGGAAAAGAGAGTAGGAATTTAGAAGCTAGTCTGATTTTTTACTTCCTTGGCTCTGTGATCTTGGGCAAGTCAACCATTCTGAGCCTCAGTTTCCTCATCTATACCTGAGAATAAAAACTGTCTGTCCTGCCTCACCGGCAGAGTTGCTGGGAGTGCCGTATGATAACACACGTGTGGACACACTGCATGATTACGAAGCATTGTGTCCACTACAGTTCTGTTCAGTGACTGACACGAAGAAAAGGTTTATTTTTCTCACCTAATAAGAGGTCCAGGGGTAGCAGCCCATGGCTGCTGCAGCCGCCCAAGGATGTCTTAAGAAATCTGCCTCATATGGCTGTCAGATGACTGCTGTACTCCCAGGCATTATGTTGGCATTCCAGCCAGGAAGGAGGAAAATAGACAAGGAGGAAGGGAGTGGGCGTCTATGTCAGGAAAGCAAAACTTTTCCAGAAATCCTCCACCAGCTTCCATATGTGTCTCACTGGCCAGCACTGTGTCACAGGGCTGCTCCCAGAGGCAAGGGAGCCTGGGAATTTTTTGAAAGTTGGGGGCATTGTCCCCCCACACACAAAAAAAGGGGAGAGAATGCACACTAGTTAGACAACTTGCCGTGTTGCCACAAACGCGTTGAAAAGCCAAAATAACTATCATGGAATCAGCACTATAATTTGACTCAGATTAAATGTTATTTAAGAATAAATAGTCTCAGCCCTTTCATTGTACAAAATAGGTACCTGGATTGGCCAAGAAACACAGTATGCTCAATCTTTCTGAAATATTATTAAGCACATTATTTTAACAAAACTACAGCTCTAAGAACATAATACATCTTCACCTAAAATTAGAAATTGCTTTTAGAAAAAAAAAAAAAGGTAGAGCAGAGCTTAGGTGCTGTTTTTCTCTTCTTCAGGGGATTTTGGAACGCCTGGAGAGTGGGGAGGTTGTGATTGGAGATGGCAGCTTTCTCATTACTCTGGAGAAGAGAGGCTATGTGAAGGCTGGGCTCTGGACTCCAGAGGCAGTGATAGAACACCCAGATGCAGGTTGGTGCCACATCCCCAAGAGTGTCTACCTCAGTGGTGTCTTATTTAAATCTGATTGAGAGAAGATCAAGAAAAAAATAACAACTGTTTCAAAGGGGTGTTTTGCTTGCTAAAATTGCCAAGATGTGGAGACAATGGCAGTATGAAGGCGGAAGTATATGCAAGAAAATGACCTCTCTCTTCCTTTCTCTCTCTCTCATATACACACCTACACACATCACACACCCACACATCCACACGCCCACACACACTCCCACACACACACCCCCACACACTCACACCCCCACACACTCACACCCCTAACCCCACATCCACACACACCCCATATACACACCCACACACACCACAAACACACGTACACACCCACACAACACACACACACCCACCACACTCTCATACACACACACATCTGCATCTTAATGTACAGGCAGTGCTAAAATAGACATCTTAATATTTGTTCCATGAATATTTACCTTGTAGATACACAGAGTTTCCTTAAAACAGCAAAGCTGTTCCTGCTTCTGATTCACCCTGCTGACAATGTGCATGGTTAATGTAACAGTGTGTATAGTGAGGGTGATTAATGGCAGTCACAGTGTAACAGAGCACAGACAGCCAGGTCCCGGGGTTGGGAGGGCAAAGAAGTCAACACAGTTTTATATCATCCTCCTGGCTAGAGGTAAAGAACTGTGATGGGATTAGATAGTTACCTGAAATTAGAACTTTAATTCTCTTCTGACTCTTTTTTTGTGTGTTTGTTCTCCTAAATTAAAGTGGGAAAATAAAGCCAAAGAATGAAATGGGTGAAAGAGAATACTAGCTGAGACTGGAACTTTTGATTCGCTCTGATTTTATGTATATTCGCACAGCATATCAGATAAACCTAGGATCCTGTCTTGGTTCTTCCACTGACCAGCTGTGTGACCTTGGACAAGTCACTTGACCTCTCCAAGGATCCATATCTTCATCTGCTTCACGAGGACACAACACGGGCTAGGTGTGAGGACTCATGAGTTAACCTGTGTGAAGTGCCGTGCGTATCTTCAGTACGATGGCCATTATGATTGGTGCATCGGACACCCAGAGTTCTGTGGTAGAGCAGGACCAAGTTTTGTCCCTTTGGTGCTTAACAGGATGTTTTCATCTGGCTCAAGAAGAACTTGTTCTTAATGTTAAAAGACCTTTTTGCTAAACTGGGAAGAAAGTGCTGGAATAACAAGAGAAATTATACGGGAGGAGGGGCGAAAGTGGTGAAGGAGAGGAAGGAATGACTTTCGGATAGCCAGGGAAAACTTCCAGACTGCTCTCTGATGTTGCCCAGCTGCTTGCTGCTGACTCTGATATGGGTGCCACCCACATGCATTCTGCTTTCTACGAGAAGCTCCTCACTTTACTTTGAGGGCTGCCAATGCTGACTATAGTAGACCAGCTATGTCCTTCACAACACAGGTATAGAATAAACCTCTCTGGACTAAGAGATCAAGGGATAATTGGCCAATATGGTCTTAATCTCTGCATGTGACTGCACCAAGTCATTGAGGCCCATCACCAGAACAATACAAGGCTACTCTAAACAGTACATCCTGCCTATGAATTCTACTGACCTTAATCTATAACTTTTTATCTACTAGGTTTGAACTGAGGTATGATTGAAAGAGTTGGGAGTCAGTGAAAATGACAGCTTCTGTAATATTTCTTTGTTCATTTATTTCAATGTTTAAAACCCAACTACTTTGTAGTTCGTCAACTTCACATGGAATTCTTGAGAGCAGGATCAAATGTCATGCAGACTTTCACCTTTTCTGCCAGTGAGGACAATATGGAAAGCAAGGTAAACAGCAATGGCTGGGTGCGGGGAGGGAGTCATCTATTAAGAAATAACCTCTACATGGGAAGCTATGGCATTGATGATGTGTTACTATACTTTATTACAAAAGTCCATATAAGTATCTATGTATTAATTGTCACATAAAGATGTATACTAACTAGGCTGGGCACAGTGGCTTACACCTGTAATTCCAGCACTTTGGGAGGCCAAGGTGGACAGACCACTTGAGCCCAGGAGTTCCAGATCAGCCTGGACAACATGGTGAAACCCCATCTCTACTAAAAAATGCAAAAACTAGCTGGGCGTGGTGGCAGGTGCCAGTAATCCCAGCTACGCGGGAGGCTGAGGCATGAGAATGGCTTGAACCTGGGAGATGGAGGTTGCAGTGAGCCGAGATCACACCACTGCGCTCCAGCCTGGGTGACAGAGCGAGACTCCATCTCAGAAAAAAAAGAAGTTAATATATACTAAATGAATTAGCTTTCTCTCCCCATTTAGGTATAGGAGGGGTCAGGACTAGGGGTAAAATAAACCATTGGAAGGGCACGGCTGTCTTCCTGTGTTATTTTTTAGAGAGAAAGCACTTCATAGATGCTCTTTTTACCTTCTCATTTCACATTTTTCTCTTCTGGAGACATGGAGGCCCAAAAAACACAACACTGGTGTAGAAATGAGAAAAAATGGGTTTAATATCCAGCATTGCCACCTATTGGTTGTGGCTTTGTGTAAGACACCTACCTGCATTGAGCATTGGTTTTCTCTCTGCAAAATGGAGATAACGGTAGTACTTAAGTTCATCGACCTGTTGAGAAGAGTAAGTAAGATCAAAGATGTGGACGTATTGTGAAATATTCTGCAAATGTAAAATGTTAACACGTGTAAATATTAATGCCCATTAATTCATTCAACCAACCAACATGTACTGAGTATCTGTTATAGTCCATTCTCTATGTTAGATTCAAAGATGGTACAAAGGCATAGATCCTATCTGGAGGCTCAAGGTCAAGTATGGGAGGCGAACAAATAGTTATTAAAATCCAATGTGGTAAGTACAATAATGGAAATATAAGGTCATGGTAACAGAGGAGATTGTACCCAACTCTGCTCATCTTCTCTGCTTGCATTGAAAAGAGTGGCTTACACTCATCTTACTTGTTTGTTGTTCCTTTGGTTATCTTTTATATTTTACTTTCAAACTGCTAGGCTCACCATCTGAACTCTTGCTCTCTAACCTCAGTGGGAAGATGTCAATGCTGCTGCCTGTGACCTCGCCAGGGAAGTGGCTGGCAAAGGTGATGCTTTGGTTGCAGGGGGGATCTGCCAGACATCAATATACAAATACCACAAGGATGAAACTAGAATTAAAAAACTTTTTCGACAACAGCTAGAAGTTTTTGCCTGGAAAAAGGTGGACTTCTTGATTGCAGAGGTGAGGCTAGTATTAGAGGAAAAGGATTGAGCCTATTTTGCAAGCATAACTGCAGAGTCTTCACATTCCATGACAGTATTGGACAGCCTTATGCCCTCGTTTCTTCCATGTGGGTGGTCAAAGGTTTATTTAAATGCATGGCAGTCAAGGTCAACATTCCCTCATTGGTATGCTAGGTTCTCTTGGAGCCAAAGGACAGACACAGGGGAGGCCTGACTATAGCCTTTGATCTTCTAAGGTCTGGGTGGCTGCAGAAGCTGACTCGGGGGACTCCACAACCTAGAAGGAAGCATAGGGCACAGTGCATTCGGGAGCACCCTCTCCAGAGTGAGAAGCCAGGCAGGAGGGCACTGCACGTGTGGGCTGGGGACTGAGAGAGCAAGGCCTAGAAGGTGGTGGCTGTCCAGGCTTGTCCAGGCCCCACCAATAATGCTCAGCACCCAGTAGTTTCCATAGCCTTCTCCATCCATGTCTTGCTCTTCTTGCCTCTCTGCTTTCACTCAAGCTATGACATGTGAGTTACATTTTGAAGAAAGAATCAGTAAGTATTGGTCATTGATTGGACATGAAGGCCCAGAACATTCTCTTTCCTCCACTTCCAAAAAGAAAGTCCTCATTCCCCATTTCCCGACATAACTGCTACTGCCTGGAGTCATGCCTTCAACCCATGACTTTACACCAAACAGGAGAAATATTCCCTGGCCAGGCGTGGTGGCTCACACCTGTAATCCCAGCACTTTGGGATGCCAAGGCAGGTGGATGGCATGAGGTCAGGAATTCGAGACTAGCCTGGCCAACATGGTGAAAGCCCATCCCTACTAAAAATACAAAAATTAGCTGGGCATGGTGGTGGGAGCCTGTAGTTCCAACTACTTGGGAAGCTGAGGCAGGAGAATGGCTTGAACAAAGGAGGCGGAGGTTGCAGTGAGCCAAGATAGCGTGCCATTGCACTCCAGCCTGGGTGACAGAGTGAGACTCTGTCGACAGAGAGAGAGAGAGAGAGAGAGAGAGAGAGAGAGAGAGAGAGAGAGAGAGAATAGCCCCCACCATTATTCCTTCTAGTCACCCCACTGAACTCTACTGAAAACTTTGCCTCATCCACCTGCCCACGCCTGGCCAACCCCACTGGGAACAGACATCTGCAGGGACAAGCACAAACTCCACCCTCTGTGCTTTCCAGATGGATGATGACACCACTCTGTTTGTTTAAGAACCCATCTTTTGATTCTCTCTGTCATTGCTCACACTGCTTCTGCAGAATTTGTTTCTAACTCAAGAGGGAAGAAACAGGAAGATTTCTGGCTTTTCTTTAGTTGCCTTAAGGTCAGCTTTTCAGCTGTGGCACTGAAGGGGGTTGCTGGGAAGCACCCCAGAAAATGACACAGGTTTACCAGACAAGATATCCCGTCTGCCACTAGCAAAGAAAGGGAGTAGCTATCTCTCCCATGCTGTGCCTCAATCTTCTCATCCGGGGAAATAGTATTTCCCTTCCTACTTTATGGAGTACTTATGAATATCTAACTAGAAGCGAATATAAAAGCTCTTTGAAGTATATAACACATGATAAGCTACTCATTGTTTCAGAGACTACCCTAGTTTTATAAGAGATGAATCTAAAATTTATTAACGAAACTTTTCCTCCTTCAAAGTTATGATTTTAAATACTCAGATACTTTGAAAATCTCTGGATGTGTTTTCTTCTTTTTCACTCATAGGCATCATCTCACTGAATCAATGATCCCTGAATGAAAAACTATAAGTTATTGTTATAGGAATGAAAATATTTACTCGGAAAGGTATTCTTTAATCAGTCTTATAGACACACATTCCTTAGCAAGTTTTATTGTATATATGTTTATATTCTATTTGGTAATTTTTATAACTGTTTTGCTATATTTACCTTTACCATTCAAAATCTGCTTTATGTTTGGACCAATAGAAAAAGTGACATTTCTCTTAGTATTTTGAGCATGTTGAAGAAGCTGTGTGGGCTGTGGAAGTCTTAAAAGAATCCGATAGACCCGTGGCAGTTACCATGTGCATAGGCCCAGAGGGAGACATGCATGATACAACCCCCGGAGAATGTGCCGTGAGGCTGGTGAAGGCAGGTAATTTGGACCCATACAGTGATACACAGCTCAGTTGTTGCTTGTGAAATTTAACAAAGTGGGCTTGATACCATGAGAGCAGTTTGGAAATAAAAGAATTAACTCCAATCAGTTTTCTCATCTGTAAATCGTGGGAGGTGGAGGGGGATAGCTAACCTCTAAGGTACCTTCCAACTATTAAAAAAATAAGAATAAACAAATAAATAAATAAGTAATAAAATGTAAGTGTTATTTCTTTGCACAGGGGCTTCCATCGTTGGCGTGAACTGCCGCTTTGGGCCCGAGACCAGCTTGAAGACGATGGAGCTCATGAAGGAGGGTCTTGAGCGGGCAGGGCTGAAAGCGCACCTCATGGTGCAGCCCCTGGGGTTCCACACGCCCGACTGTGGCAAAGAGGGGTTTGTGGACCTCCCAGAATATCCCTTTGGTAAGCTCAGGTGCATAGTAGAGGTCTTTGTATTTCTCGTTGTGACAAAATCCAAATGGCTATAATAAATCGTGGCTCAGTTTTACAATAAGAAACTGCATATGACAAAACATTCAGTGTTAACCAAAAATGAGCTACCAGAAGAATGCATCATCTAAAGTTTACAATTTTTTTAATCAGAAAAACTGCTCATTATAGCATCCACCATTTGAAAATGAGAACAGTAACAGAAATGCTGTTAACTATTGTGATACAGGACTGGAGTCCAGAGTTGCCACCAGATGGGATATTCAAAAATACGCCAGAGAAGCCTACAACCTGGGGGTCCGGTACATTGGCGGGTGCTGTGGATTTGAGCCCTACCACATCAGGGCAATTGCAGAGGAGCTGGCCCCAGAAAGGGGCTTTTTGCCACCAGCTTCAGAAAAACATGGCAGCTGGGGAAGTGGTTTGGACATGCACACCAAACCCTGGATTAGAGCAAGGTAAGCATTTTTAAATTAACATTCTTATTATTTTCCTTTAATCTAATTTTGTTTATTGTTGTAAATGTTATGCATGCACATGGCAAAAAGTATAGAAACGTATAAAGCGAAAAGTAAAAATTATCCCCTTCCTGACACCAGTCCCATTTCCATAATTGTCTTCAGTCCATTCGGGCTGTTAGAACAATACCATAAACTGGGTGGCTTATACACAACAGAAATTTCTTTCTCAGTTCTGGAGGCTGCAAAGTCCAAGATCAAGGTGTCAGCAGATTCAATGTCTGGTGAAGGCCTTATAGATGGTAAAGGCCATCTCTAAGGAAGCAGGCATTCCTTACAGATGATACCTGCTTGCTGTGTTCTTACATGGTAGATGGGGCACCACAGCTCCCTGGGGGCTCTTTTCTTTTATTTTCTTTCTTTTTTTTTTTTTTTTGTTTTTGAGACAGCATCTGACTCCGTTGCCCAGGCTGCAGTGCAATGGCGCAATCTTGGTTCACTGCAACCTCTGCCTCCCAGCTTCAAGTAATTCTCCTGCCTCAGCATCCCGAGTAGCTGGGATTACAGGCGCCCACCACCACACCCGATTAATTTTTGTATTTTAGTAGGGATGGGGTTCCACCATGTTACCCAGGCTGGTCTCAAACTCCTGACCTCATGATCCACCTGCCTCCGCCTCCCAAAGTGCTGGGATTAGAGTGGGGCCTCTACTAGTCCCATTCATCAGGCCTCCACCCTCATGACCCAATCACCTCCCAGTGGCTCCACCTCCTAATATCATCACATTGGTGACTAGGTTTCAACATATGCATTGTGGGGGACACAGACGATCAGACCAGGGCACAGAGGAAACCTGCTTGTCATTTGTAGTTTGAAATCTTGTACCTCTATTTCTTTCGTCATCAGTTTTAAGTGGTTATTATTGATAACCCTTTATGAAAGCTGAGGGATTTAAATCACACAGTCTTCCCCTTTCCCCCATTCTCCTTTTCCCAGTTTTGATTCATTACACTTTTATTTTTTCTGTTGGATATCATCTTTTTAAGTTAAATTTATATATTTAACCACCTGTTTCTTACTTCATCAATATAAGGCAGGAATCTCTTGACTCCACTCTCTGTAAAATAAGAATAGATTGCCTTCTGCTTCTTTCCACCTTCTCTCTCTCATCTACCCCTTGGTGTCTCTCAGTTTTACCATACTTTACTATCATCAAGGTTTATAACCATTTTGTTCTATTCTATAGTTATAATTGTCTTTCAAGCATTCTCTGTAGGTTGATCCTAAAAATATAAAATCAGTGAATAACATTTACAATATTATTATAATTGTTACATTAAACAAGCAGGACTCATGAAACATAATTAGAACTCACTTTTATTTTTGTCTCCCTCTATCCTTTTAAACCTACTCAATGAATTCCTTCCTTTGTTCCTATTTGAAAATACTGACATGCTCTAGAACTTCTCTGGGTGCTCTTAGGCAATGGAAAGTTCCATAATCACTTTATTTCACAGGTAGTCTCAGTTCAGTAATTAAAAGTGTTTAGGACTGGGCAGTGACTCACACCTGTAATCCTAGCACTTTGGGTGGATCACCTGAGCTCAGCAGTTCAAGACCAGCCTGGCCAACATGGCAAAACCTCATCTCTACTAAAAATACAAAAGTTAGCCTGGCGTGGTGGCAGGAGCCTATAATCCCAGCTACTTGGGAGGCTGAGGCAGGAGAATCACTTGAATCCAGTGGGGTGGAGGTTGCAGTGAGCCAAGATTGCGCCACTTCACTCCAGCCCGGGGAATAGAGCGAAACTCCACCTCAAAATGAACAAACAAAAAAACCCCCAAAAATAAAAAATAAACAAAAGTGTTCAGGTTCATGGCAAATCAAAACTCAGAGCATGTTTGAAACTTGAAGCTTCTCCCTTTGTCCAGCAACAGCCTTCCACAGACAGGAAACCAGGAAAGGCCAACGTGCTGCTTCTCTTTCTCTGTCTTATGCTCCCAACCCTCCCTTCCCATCTGCTACCCATGGTTTCTGGCCTCCTCAGATTCAAAGTAAGAAGAGAGAGGATGGACGAAGGAGTAAGACTGTTGTTGCTTGCCTGGCACCCTGATAGGAAGCCGGCATGCTTTGAGCCTGGCAGATCTTTGTGAGCATGCTCATGGGTCTTCAGAGGCTTCCACTGGAAATTTTGTCTGTAGTTCTCATGCCACACACATTTTTCTGACTGTGACTTCCACCTCAGACAGTGGCTTTTTCAACCAGATCACTGAAGATATACTCTGATTTGGGGGTCCCATTGTCCTTCCTGGTGATTCTCTCGGGCCAGATTTTAGATAGCTCAGGCTGGCTCTCTTGCTCTCATTCAACTCAAAACAGCTTTCACCCTTCCTTTCTACAGACAAGCCCTGAGAGTGTGGTCTGACCCCAATTTAACAGCATCCCTTTTGCCCACAAGCAAAGTAGCTGGCCCATTGTTCTCTTGTGGTCTAGATTTTCCAGGGGAGAGTCAGGTGAGTCATCTGGCTGGTTCGTAGCCACCTCCTTTAAACTTCAGCTCAGTGTCTGTCTTGCAACTCCCCTTGATACCTAAAATCCATCATACCTTGGTGTTTCCAGTCAAACTTCCAATCTAATACTCTGTTGCAGGAATAATAGAAAATTGTTGCATTTAGAAAAACGTTCACTGTAGAACAAAGTAGTGTTCTGCAGTGTTCTGTGTCCCTTTATCCATGGGACCATGGATAAAGAGAAATAATCCTATTTACAAAACTTAAGCTACCTGTTGGAGAATGTTCCAAGCATCAAGGTCAAATGAATTTTCTTCTCTTACATTCCCATGGATATATTGTCCAAATCCATGCCATATTTCAATTGGCTTCATACTTGGTCTGACTTTCTTCGTATAGCTTTTGATTTTCAAGGGATTTCTGATTAACTTCCTTTTTCATTGTTGAAAGAAAAATAACAGGGCTTCACTTTCCCTGAGGTCTTATAATTACTGTTCTGTTATGGATCATTGTATTTCACACACACACTCTCATACTCTTTCTCTCTCCTCTGTCTCTCCATGTAGATAATCTTTTGTGTATGTATATGTGTATATATATACATGTGTATGTATATATATACATATGTATGTATATCTGTTGATAAAATTCCATCCCCCTTCCATCTTCTAGAACTAGTCACAACCTCTGCTGTCTTCTCTTCGTTCAGTACTCTTACGTACTTCACCCGTTTTGTGCTTATTTATTCATTTCAGTGGGATTGAAAGTCTTCATTTTTGGACTGGAAAAACTTGCCTAATGCAAATTTACTTAGGTTGTAAAAGTAGGCAAGAATCATTTAGCCGAAACTTTCTTCTAGGGGATATGGATATTTACCAGAGAAGATGGTTTGTATATGTGTCATACTTTTTAAAAAGTACTAAATATAAATATAATCAAAAGGTGAGGAAACATACTTTACTGATGATGAAAATATTTTAAATAAGTGAGAAGTTTATTTAATTATCATCTGCTAGGAATCCTTAAAATTCATTAGCTATTAGAATTAAAACGTTATTCTATAGACCAAAGCAAGAAGACACCCTTTGTACCGACTCCCAAACCTACTGATATTCACAGAAATTTACGACTACACAATAAACACCAGATTTCTGACATCTTATCACCCAAAAATATTGATTTACTCATTGTTTTGTAAGTGAAGTAGAAAAAATGATAAAAATATATTTATCAGAAATGACTGTGACCAGGGACCTTTGTACTCTTTTTCCTTTGTCTAACAACAAGAAACAAATATCGGTTAAGTAATTTGTATTATTTTCTTAGTTACTTTTTGGAGAATTATACTTTGACGCATTACATTAAAAACTGTTCTCATATTCTTCTCATTACATTAAAATATTGATAGAGTTAGAAGGACTCTGTTAGAAATTTCAGAATAAATATAATTCATAAAAGTATATGAAATTTAAGGCTGGGCATGGTGGCTTATGCCTGGAATCCCAGCACTTTGGGAGGCCAAGGCAGACGGATCACTGGAGCTCAGGAGTTTGAGACTAGCCTGGGCATCATGGGGAGACCTTGTCTCTACTAAAAATACAAAAGTTAGCCTGGTGTGGTGGTGCATGCCGGTAGTCCCTGCTACCTGGGGGGCTGAGGCAGAAGAATTGCTTGAATCCAGGAGGTCTAGGCTGCAGTGAGCCAAGATTGTGCCACTGCACTCCAACCTGGGCAACAGAGCAATACCCTGTCTCAAAATAAAAAGTATATGAAATTGAAATACCTTGTCTTTTTCTGAAAGGTGGTATGAAACCTAATGATTGTTACTGAAATGTGAGAAAGGCCCCTGGCATTAATGGATATGGACATAGTTTTCTGTCTGTATGTTATAACAAAAGTTCTGCTTTAGCCTGATTATCCACCAAGTTTTGACTCTGGGGTGTGTGTGTGTGTGTGTGTGTGTGTGTGTGTGTGTGTGTGGTTAGGTACATACGCATACACATATACATATATGACATATTGGACTTATAGGTAAGACTTTTAATTAATTAATTATGTATATATTAAAACACAGGGCTCGAAGGGAGTATTGGGAGAATCTGCTGCCAGCTTCAGGCAGACCTTTCTGTCCTTCGCTGTCAAAGCCAGACGCCTAAGGAGTAGTGAAAGAAAACCCTGAAATAACAGAACGGAAAAAAGTTGCCCTCAAGCCCGACCTGGAACCCTTCCTCGCCTTCATCCTCACCATGCCCTGCTATCTCCAGCTGCTGAGCAGCTGAGGCGCTGCAGCCCCTTCCCTTCCAGTCCACAAGCACCTACATATTGAGCTCCTGCTGTGGTTAAGCACTGCAACAGACACTACCAGAGATGCAGAGAAGCGAGAGAGGCACCTTGTTCTCCAAGAACTTACTGGCCAATAATGCTGCAGTGCATTCCTTTGAAGATCATCAGGAATAGCCAAACTTGTCTTTGAGGGTGAATTTGACACTTTAAAATAATCAGAAGTCACTGAGACCCAAAGCTAGTGAATAATTCAAGTGACTAAGCTAGGTACTTGAGGATGATAGAGCAACACTAAACTAAAGCAATGAGTGTGCTTTTCTTTAATGATTTATATGATAACTCCAAAGGCAATCCCAAAAGAAAAGATGTAAAGAATGTTTTGAGCAATGGTAGGATTATTGAAATAAATGTATAACTATCCAAAGTGATTACTTTCAAAGATGATTTTTACTTAACGATATTAGGTCCAGCCAGGTGAAGTGACTCACGTCTGTAATCCCAGCACTTTGGGAGGCCGAGGCGGGTGGATCACCTGAGGTCAAGAGTGCAAGACCAGTCTGACCAATATGGTGAAACCCTGTCTCTACAAAAATACAAAAATTAGCCTAGCATGATGGCAGGTGCTTGTAATCCCAGCTACTCGGGAGGCTGAAGCAGGAGAATCGCTTGAACCTATGAGGCGGAGGTTGCAGTGAGCTGAGATCGGACCACTGCACTTCAGCCTGGGTGAGAGAGTGAGACTCCATCTCAAAAAAAAAAAAAAAGAAAAGATATTAGGTCCTAGAATTTTTAAAATATGTCTTCATAATCTCAGGTAGCTAGGTTATAAACTATTTAAAGACAAGATCACATGATAAGCGTCTCATAATTCTCCTTACTTAGCATTGTGTTAGACATAGTAATAGGTGCACAGTGAAATACTGTTGATTGTTTAAAAATAAGTCAAAATAAACAGTTTTAGAAAACATTTTCAAAAGTCAGAGTTCAGGCCATGGGCAGGGGCTCATGCCTATAATCCCAGCACTTTGGGAGGCCAGGGTGAGCAGATCACTTGAGGTCAAGAGTTCAAGAGCAGCCTGGCCAACATGGCAAAACTCCACCTCTACTAAATAAAACACAAAAATTATCCGGGCATGGTGGTGCATGCCTGTAATCCCAGCTACTTGGAGGTTGAGGCATGAGAATTGCTTGAACCTGGGAGGTGGAGGTTGCAGTGAGCTGAGATCACCCCACTGCACTCCAGCCTGGGAGATAGAGTTCAAATCTGTTTTGGTCTAATGTTTTCTTATGTTTGTTTTATTTCATGTGTGCCAGTTTCTCTTTTTTCACAACAATTTATCAATTTGTGGCAATAAAATTAAAAGTGATTTACTTTTTGTAGTGTTTGAATGTCAAAAATGTCATGAACATTCTTTGGAATAATACTAGCAAATATTTATTACTCACTATGTCCCAGGCTTTGTTCTAAATATGACCTCATATACATATACCCCCCAACAGGGATTCAAAATTAGATAGTGTTTAACACAGTAGTTTACAGGTAAGGAAACTGAAGTCTAATGAGGCTAGGTAATTTGCCTGAGGTCACACAATCAGTAAATGTGAAATTAGTAAGTTTGCATTTGAACCCTTGGGGCTGGCTCTAGAATCCATGGCCTTACCTACTGCACTACACGGCATCTGTCATGCACACAGCTGCTGCTGTTTGTCAAAAATCTATCCAAATTTTTCTGTCGCTGGATTCAAAGTATTTTTTATCGACTTTCCTCATTATGAATTAACTCTTCAAACCTGCCATGATTGTTTCTGTAATGTTGACAACCTGGAATTTATTTGATGTAGCCACGTTCCCCATAATACACAACCCCACCCTGCTGGAAATTAGAAAGTGAATCATTTACCATCATCTCAAGGCCTTTGGGGTCCTTATGGGTGACTAATCCAAACCAGCAATTAAATACCTGAATATCCTTGCCAGCATCTTCCCCAGGACCATCCAGTCTCTGTTTGGACCCCTTAAATAGTACCTCACTACCTCTCGAGATCACTTACTCCTTTTTAAGAAACACTTCATTCTCTGGAAAGCTATCCATATATTAACTAGAAATCTACTTATTAATGACCCTTACCTGTAGACTTGGAGCACCTATAGAGCAAATTTATGATTTCTTCCATGTAACTCTTTGAAATGTAAAGATAGCTGTATGGCATTCCTGTACTTACTTGTCCTCATTTCCTTCAACCAAAAGGCATAGGCTAAGATGTGCTTTGTCAAATACTACCTGTGTGACATTAGACAGTTACTTAAGCTTTATGTCTTAATTCCCTCATCTGTAAAATGTGGGTAAAATAGAACCATCCTTATTGGGGTGCTATGAGGATTAAATGAGATAAGTTTCTTAGAAACAGTGCATGTCGTATAATAGGCATTCACTGCACATTATGTAGTATAATATAGTTATGTTGACTTGGTTTCCAATCCCCTCATCCTCATGGTGACTCTCTTCTGGGAACACTGTGGTACCAAAGCCTCTGCTTATTTTTAGTATCTAGTCCTGAACACTACATTCCAGGGGAGGACTGTTCACACAATATCTCCTGCTTGTTTCATAGATTTTGTGGAGAGGGCAGTGCAGGACATCATGAGAATAGCAAGAGTGAAGAAGGTACATCAGGAGGGAGAGCTGTTTCCACGCCGAATCCCTTCCTTAGGTGTGCACCAGCACAAACGAAGGCTTTTATCTAGTTACTGTACACTTTAGGAGTGCTAAACTGTATAGGAGTTTGAGACCAGCCTGGGAAATATGGCAAAACTCTGTCTCTACAAAAAATACAAAAATTAGCTGTGCATGGTGGTGCATGCCTGTAGTCTCAGCGACTCAGGAGGCTGAGGCTTGAGCCCAGGAGGTCGAAGCTGCAGTGAGCTGTGATCACACCACTGCACTCCAGCCTGGGTGACAGAGCAAGACCTTGTCTCAAAAAAAAAAAAAAAAAAAAGGATAAATTTGACTATATAAAAACTTTAAATGTATGAACACTCACACAAAAATACTCTAAACAAAGGCAAAGGCAAATAGGAAAAGCATGTAACAGAGGTCAGCAACCACTCTTCCAGTAAAGGGGTCTTGAGTTGCTTTTGTTCAAACCTCCCCCAACCCACGCAGATGTTATGAGAGGGGTTCACCTATGTGACTGGCATTCAGAACCCCACTCCACTCCATTTTCTTGGGCTTACAGGTGTTATGAGAGGGCAATGTACCCAGCTGGGACCAAGCAAAGCCTTGGGGTCAGCACTAGCATCATCACCATCAGCCGTGTTGATGGTCACTATTTCAGGTGTAGGATGTGAGGCTGTGGCTCAGGTGCCCCAGGAAGTGCAGTGCACCTTGTGGAGATGGTGTGAGGGCCAGGTTGTTGGATCTGCAGGCACTGACACAGAGTTTGGGCTGTGGCTCAGGTGCCCCAGGAAGCGCAGTGCACCTTGTGGAGATGATGTGAGGGCCAGGTTGTTGGATCTGCAGGCACTGACACAGAGTTCGGGCAGCTTCTGAGCATTCATATGTTATCCCGTAACGTGGTACCTGCCAGTCCCACTTGACTCTCTCCTTTCCAAGAAGTGGGTCCTCTCCTTTGTTGGGCAACTTCTGGGGATTGACTGTCAGCTCCTGTGCCCCCACATGCACTTTGTACAGCCTCCTCCCCACCTCCTTCAATCCCCACAACTATGTAAGGTTTTCAGAAAAACTTTCTTTTCTTCTTCGTCTATTATTATAATAGGACATCACTCCAAAAGCAATAGGAAAATGAAGTCCTCTTTTCTCAATGGCATCCTAATTAGAGGTGGGGAAATATTTGCTTTATATCTTTCCAGTGCTGGGAAAAAAGGGTGGGGGGGAACAGAATAATACATTTACAGATTGAAGCAATCTGAATACTAATATCCTGCTGCACATATTTGCGTACATTTGATAAACTAAGGGATACTTTCCTTAATCTATAAATTAGGAAATAATTACCTTAATCCATTAAATATAGAAAAAGATAAACACATTCAAAATTAGGTAAATGCACAGCAAAGTGATGAGATACCTTTTTTCACCTATCATCAACTAAGATCAAAAAGTGGATAATATGTCAATGAGGGTCGGGGGAAAAGACTTTCTCATACATACGCTTTTTGTAGAAGTGTAATCTGGTACAAACTATTTGGAAAGCAATTTGTCCATATTTACAAAATTTAGAATTCACATGCCTTTGGATGAGCGATTTTACTTCTAGGAATATAATCTGCAATTATGTTCATATATATGCAAATGTGTATGTCTGGAAACCACCTAAATATCCATCAATGATGTATTAGTAAATGAATTATGGAACATCTACAGGATGTTAAAGCATGGCATCATTACAAAGAATACATTAGATCAATATGTGCTAAGATGGAAGCATCTCCTCCATATATTGTTAAACGAAAGTATGCTCTCATTGCTTGTACATAGAATTTTTTTAGGGAGGAATATCTCCCTCCTGGGGAGAAAGACTGGTGGTGATGGAAAGTGTGGTGTAGGAGGAAGACTTCCTTTTCTGACACCCTTCTTTAGTGTCTACGTTTGTTAATACGGCTTGGTATTACTTTTTCTACAAAATAAATTAGTTTTAAAATCTACATCAAGATTTTTGATTGCAAGGGGAAAAATCAGATAACATGAATTCCCTGTTGTGATACAGAATGGAAAATGCTACATTACCGATGATGTACACCAGCCAAAAGTTTCTGGGGTAATCTAATCAAGCCTTTAGATTTCACTTCCAATTCAGTGAAATCAAGGGATATAGGAACAAGGTAAACACCACAATCAGTTGAATCCTATATTCTCCAGGCCGGCTGGCCTAGTCTCTTCCACGGGTCAGCGTGTTGGAGTTGCTCATCTTTATATGACAAACCAATGCAATGCATGGTCCTGGTTGAGACAAACTGGCTATAAGAGGTCTTTTGGGAACAATTGGGGAAATTTGATTAAGGAATCAGGTTAATTTTGGCAATGCAGAAAAATGTTCTTAATTTTTGGAAATAATACAATTTTTAAAAAATGCATACTAAATGTTGATTACTATTTACAATTTACGTTAAATATTTTAGAATATAAAAAGAAGGCCTTTTTAAAAGGCAAGATTTCCACAGGTTTTGATTTGGTAGGGGCAACTTAAGGAGAAGGTAATTGTCTGCCAAAAAGAAAACAGTGCAATTAAGAAAAACTGGCTTGAACTAGCTCTTTCCAGTTCTACAGCAGATGTTTGCTGTACTGGAGTTATCAAGAAAAGCAGATGGCCCTCTGATAAACCCTGCTGTGCATAGACTCAGCAATGCAGACCAGCAAATAGCTGGCATGGAAACCACCTGAAAGGGATCGAAGAGATTCATTGAAAC